GCCAATCTGGAGGTGGGGTGGGGGTGGAGCGGGAGGGTCTCTGGCGGGGCCGCTTCGCCCAGCCAGCCCCGAGCCGCGTAATGGCCCGGGGAGGGGGGGGGGAGAAGGTGGTGGGGGTGGACTGTGGCGCCCCTCCTTCTGGGCAGCGGGGCGGGGGCGGCAATTTGCTCCTCCCGCTTCTCCCTCCCTCTTTGAAAGACCGGGAGGGCTGTGCTTGGGGCAGGGGGGGGGTGTCCTCAGGAAGTTCCTGATGGGACCCCGCTGGGCAGGGCCACCCGGCTCCCGAGCTGCTTTCCAGGGTCCCCTTGGGAAGAAAAGGGTCCGGTGGGCGGTGGAAGAAGGCGAGCGCCCTCCTCCCGCCCCCTGTCCCGTCCCGTCCCTCCTCTTGTCCCCTCCTCCCCTCCCCGCTTAAGAGAGAAAGATCTGCCTCCCCTGCACCGAGCTTCCACCCGGCGCCGCGTCTCCCGGCCAGCGCGCGCTTGCGACTTGGGAACCGGCCAAGCGACTTTAAAACCGAGCGGAGGCCAGAGATAGCCGGAATTACCCTCCACACCACACACACACACACACACACACACACACAGAGAGAGAGAGAGAGAGTTGGCAGCTGTCCATCCCCCACCCTTGGAGTCCCGATGGCACGCACGTGGGGGCTGTCACAAAGAAAGGGAGAGGAATTGAGTGCCAGCCTGAGAAAGGCGAAGCTGCCTCTCTAAAGCATTTTGGTGGCTTTGTAAGTTTGGGGGAAAGGGGTTGGGGGTGTCAATCAAGAATTATATCCAGAATACCCCAAGTGTTACAACTTACCGTATTTGCCGGCGTATGAGACGACTTTTTTGCCTTGAAAAGCATGCCTCCAAGTGGGGGGGTCGTCTTATACTGCGAGTATATAACAAAAACTATATTTTGAGTGGAAATGTTGGGGGCTCGTCTTATACGCCCAGTCGTCTTATACGCCGGCAAATACGGTATATAAGATTTCTTTGACAATATTTTGGTTTATGGAGCTACATAAATTGATAACTGGAGGAAAGTAGTACGTCACAGAACAGCAAGTTGCTGTACTTCAGTAGTCCAATCTAAGCATGAAGGTAGACTACTTTCCTTTGCCTGAATACATAATTTCAAAGAATTGTCTTCTGCCAATGTGCATAGAATACCATTGAAGGCTTGCAAAACAGTTGTTTCAACACAATGGTTGCTGTTAACTCATAAAACATTCCTATGCCTGTTTTCATAGTTTCCATAAAAAAGGAGGGGGGGAAGGAAATCTAGAAGAGCAGTGCAGCAGTTTGAAATCGAAAGTACATTCCAACACTTATCTTTAAAAGATTGTAACTGAATTACCAGAGCTTTTGCCTGTGAATATATTTAATTAGAGAACGTGATTGATGACACCCAGGCCGTGAACATGCTTAATTGGAGAATCTGGTTTATGAGGCACCCATAGGGGAGGGGGGAAATAGTGTCACAGGTGACTATAAATTACGTATGCCAGAATTGGCTTCATACAGGGCAATGCCAGTATGTCGCTTCTAATAAATCCTTTGAAGTTTTTTTGAAGTTTGGCTCGAGAATCATGATTTAATTAGGGTGATTGCTGGAATCCTGACAGCATGCCAACTCTCATAATAAGTCAGTATTACTGGGGCCCTGGGGCCAGGCTTCTTCAATCGCTCCCCAACATCTGGGGTGTGTGGAGAGAAACTCAGGCAGCCATGGCAGAGAGCAGGCTATCAGAAGGAGAAACAGACTTGACCTCCAGCCTGAAGCAAACAGAAGCTGATAGCATAATTAAAGCTGGAGGTCAGCCCCCTTGAATTCTGAAGCGGAGAAACCTGCTCCAACGGAGGAAAGAAAACCAGATAAGTACTGGTGGAAAAAGAAAATTCCTAAAGCCTCTGACGCTGAATTTCCCCACCCCAGGCCCAAAAAGGGAGAAGGCCCTTGAGTGAACTGGGAAGAGTGGATTGGATGTGGGACTGGGCACAGACCAGGGCCCCAAAGTCCCTGACGGAATCCCAGGGGAGACCCATGGAGCAACTGAGGGAGGAATTTGACTGAGCCACCATTCGGGATGACGGCCCATCATGCTGCCCAAAACAGAGGGGAGTTTTTACAGAGCCCTTTGAAGTGAGGAGAAGCAGGCGAGACCACAGCCCTCCTTCTCCACCCAGCAGAAGAAAAAGGAGTCCAAAGCTGCAGCCAGTGCCTCCTCCACACGCAGTCCCCTCCCCTGTGCAAACTAGAGCTGAGGAAGAAGGCCAGCCACCTCAAGTGCAGGCTTACAGAAGGCGACAGGAGGAGGGAAGACCAGTACTCAATGAACTGCCCCGGTTCAGGGAGAAATTTGATGGGGACCCAGACCAGCTAGCTCTATTCCTTGATTAAACTGAGATCCACCTAGAACGCTATGGACACCTCTACCTATCCCCCAGAGCCATGGTGAATACTATTTCTGAGGGGCTAGTGGGAGAAGCAAGAGGATGGCTAGCAACCCTCCACAAGAGAAGGCCCCCCCACAACTGTAGGATGTAGATGACTCCCTACGACTGCTTGAGGCAAGATTTGAGAAGGCAAAGGAGGATCTCTACGTGGAAGATGAGCTCACCAACCTAAAGCAGGGAGGACGACCCATCAAGGAACACATCCATGAATTCAGGAGGATCAGTGGAAAGCTACCTCTTTTGCCTGAGTGGATGCCAGTTCAGAGTTGCAAAGTTACATCAAAGGAGCTCTTCTCTTTCCTCACCTGGCAACCAACCATACAGATATTGTCTTTACTACAGAACAAAAAATTGGTCTATGGCTAGCAACATATTTAAAAAGTATTCCTTGTGATTCAGTGGCTTTCTAAGGACAGTTGGTTCTGAATTTGAGTTTAAATCAGGAATGGGCAGCTTATAATAACACCTCTAGTGATGGAATGAGAGCATGATGCTATAAATCATCAGTGCTTCTAAGATTGTCTTTACTAGTGCATGGGATTTCTGCACCTATGGATCATACAGGTAGTCCTTGATTTGCGACCACTGTCAAGCCCAAAATTTCTATTGCTTCTGTTTGACAGTTGCTTCTGTTGCTTCTGTTTGACAGTTGTTAAGTAAGTTTTGTCCCATTAAGACCTTTTTTGACACCATTGTTAAATGAATAATTGCAGTTGTTAAGTGAATCTGGCTTCCCCATTGACATTACTTGTCAGAAGGTTGCAAAAGGTGATGATATAACCCCAGGACACTGCAACCATCATAAATATGAGACAATTGCCAACTGTGCAAATTTTGAACATTGAGAAGAGACTGCAACAATCCTAAGTGTGAAAAGTCACACAGATGTCATAAGTCACTTTTTCCAGTGTCATTGTAATTTTGGTCACTAAACGAACTGTTATTGCACTTGTAACCTCCAGTTATAACATTGTACAATCAAAATTTGGTGTCAAGAGTAGTCAACGTTTTGGCTTGCGGGGGCTTTCCCAAACTCAAATAAGTAGAAATTGCAAAGTTTTAATATTCTTTAATTGCCCAAATTATAGTCAAATGAAATGTTATTGTTTCTGTATTGTTGATTCCCCCTCCCCCCAACTTGTATGTTGTTTAGAGTGGAAAAACCAAATCTGCATAAAAAGATTCATAATAAATAAAGCAATAGAACCCCGAAAAGATTACTGAAAAAGTAAATAAATCCCACCTCAATGATACTGCTACACCATTGGATAACTTTATAGGGTTCTTCTGCAAGGTTGGGGGATTGAATTGTATATGTAATTTGATTTGTATATTCAAATGTTCTCCATCCTGATCTAGACGATAGCATACAGTGCAAATATTGTCAACAGAGTAGAGACCCAGAAGTCTCTTCCTGCTCATTTAATATATCTGAACCTTACTTATTTATGAAGGAAAAACTTCCTTTATAGCCAGTTGTGTCCATCCATCAAGTTTACAGACATTGCTGGCAGATCAGTTTTCTCAATCCTCTCTCTTGCATTCTGTGGAATAAATCTGAGATGTGCAGGAGAAGTGGAAATATGTACATTCTTCACATGCAGTTTTTCCTGTAAATATTTTCATCACTTGGGAGAAAAACAGAATGTTGCATCCAGAGATTGGAAACACATTTGTAGAACAGTGTGCTGGTAAGGCAATAATTAATATTAAAAAATACTAGCAGTTCTATTTGCCCTAATAAAATGCTTTGACAGTTTGGACCTGAGCTTTAATATAATGGTTACTTTAAATTCTGTTAATTATTGCTACATATTGTTTATAAAGCACATAACTGGAAAGGTTAGGTTAATGAGGCATTGCTGTTTAGAGAATTGCTTTTATTTATTTATTGCTAATATTTACTGTAATTCAGGACAAGTATGCTTTCAGATCAAAGCAATAACTTTACAAGTTTTATTTAGGAGCCATAGCAAGAGGTTCTCTAGAAATATGAGAAATCTGGATGGTCCTAAAAGCAATGAAGTATAGATTCATTTTCAATTAATTTATCATGCATTTCTGTTTGTGATAAAATAATGTGAAATTATCCTTATAAAAATTGTTGATAATATTGGATTTCTGTCCTAAATTGGCTTCCTAGAGTATTGGGGAATGTTAACCATTAGAAAATATTAAAATTTTCTAATACAAGGAAATACTTAGATTCGGGATAAGAATATGAGATTTAAAATTTATAAATATTATTAGAACTTTTTTGTCATAATCATTTTTAAAATATTTCAATGTTATACTAAATTATTCATAAAGGAACTTGAGAACTACAGTTATACTATACTAAAATTAGACCATACTGATTATAAAGTTTCCACACTGTATTTCATGTATTACCATCTTTGGAGAGAATTCTGAATTAGAATTTGGCATTGTTTTTTTGCTTGAAAGTTCTTCAAGGAATGAGGAAAATCACCAAACAATATTTCATTAACTAATCTTGATGTTGGTTTATTACCCATTTTTCTTAACAATAATGGCAATGAACAATAAGAATTGATTCAGTGATTGCTCTTGGTTTCCAGGCTTGTTAATGCAAGATCAGAGGATTACCTTTATAAGTATAGATGTTATTTTAACTACAAATATTTAATACAGATATTTATTTTTTTCATTCAAAAATCAAGCTCTTAATGCTGCTTGATGAGGGGTTATATTTTATAACTATTGTTTCTACAAATTAAAATTATTTTTGAATGAAGAGCCCTAAAATTTCAATGATGATAAAACCTTTTTTCTCTTTTGCATACTTCAGCTATCAAAATAATTACAGCTCTAGATTTCTTTTGGTAGTAAAAGCATAATATTCAGAGTAAAAAGCTGAACTGTAAACGTTCTTTTCGTACTACATTTTAGCAATCAGAAGTCATGATACAGATGTTTTTTGTTTGTGTAATTGAAAATAAAATAAATTAATTCTATACTCTGTTCTTTTTAGGGCTACTTCTACCTTTTTCATTTTTGCTTCTTTTCTCTGTCATTATTATTTATTTTTATGCACAAATTCTTTAAATTCATTTACTGCATTGTTAAAAACAGACCATATGGTACTTTATTAAACATTCTTCATTATCTGTTCTTTTTTAAGAATGACACAATTCAACTAAAAAAAGCTTTTTTAAGTAAACCACTTCAGTGATTTTCACAACTGTAACAAATATTACATCTAGCTACAAATTATATCTAGCTATAATATCTTATTTTATCTTATATCTGGCATATAATATGTGTATTACAGTACAATAGAATAGAATTTAAGGCACTTATGATACTTTGTAACTACATCAAACATTTCTTGAAGCTACATTAGTTATTTCTTGAAGTCTACCATTGAAATTACAGGAAGCTGTTCAGCATTTGGACCAGTTACTGTAATTTGGCCTAGGGAGCAAGACATCCATCCACATAGACTTCTTACCCTGGAACAAAGTTGCCCTACTTACTATTTGCCTTGAGCATATCATCATGACTACTTCTGTTTCATTGTAGGAATACTATAAGACAGTCTGAAAATAAGTTTAGATAGTCTAGTGCCGTGATGGCAAACCGTTTGCACGTTGCGTACCAAAAGTGTGCGTGCATGCTTGTGTGCCTGTACCCATGATGCAATGGACACATGACTCCCCACGCCCCCCTGTGCATGCACATGTGACCTGCGTGCGCACCATGTGCCTCTGTACCCCCTTGCACCGCACTCCTTTGTGCACATCTCCCAAGTGCGTGTTTTTCCCTGCGCATGCATGGCAGATACTCGACAATCAGCTGGCTGGTGGGGGCACATGCATATGCGCAGTGGGGGTCTTTCAGGTGACCTCTCACATGCCAGCAGAAGTGGCTCTGTGTGCCACTTCCGGCACGCATGACATAGGTTTGCTATCACAGGTCTCGTTTGACAGGGATGTTTTTACATACTGTACTAGAACAAGCCATTCCATGCTGTTAATGTAGGTTATGTGGAACAGGCAATTTAAGATAACGTGTTTCAGATCAGCAATCTCGTAACTCCAATTGGGCCACTAGGTGTGTGCTGGGAGATTACTACCTTCTGTCCACTCACTGGGCTCTGTTTCTGTTCTGCATACTGTTTTGACTGAGGAAAACACATATAGTGCATTATTATAGCGCTCCAAATGATTTGCTGCAATATAATGTAGTGTTTTATAATTTATAGAATGAGGGAAGAGCTTAGGTACTATAAGATAGTACAGTATAACAATTACAGTAAGGTTTTCTGCCAAGAAAAAAACAAAACACCTGTCCTTCCCGCTTTCTATAGAGGGACAATTGAGAGCATCTTGTCATATGGCATTACTGCCTGGTTTGGAAGCATTACTGCTTCGGACAGGAAGGCAGTTCAGAAAATGGTGAGGATGGCAGAAAAGGTAATTGGTAGTTCACTTCCTTCTATCCAGGACATAGCAGGGTCCATAGTATTGTTTGGCACACTACACATCCTCTTCATGACCTGTTTTCCTTACCTTCTGGGAGGAGGCTTCATGGTATCTGAAGCAGAACATCCAGATTCAGTCACAGTTTTGTTCCATATAGTATCAACCTTGTGAACTCCCAAGTTTCCTGTCTGTGGAGATTCTCAGTCATTCAGGTCATAGTTGTCCCAAAGGTGCTTTTTCAAGAGGCAACTGGACTTTTTGGTTTTTCTTTGAAGACGTTTCACTTCTCATCCAAGAAACTTCTTCAGCTCTCAGCTGCCTCTTGAAAAAGCACCTTTGGAAGAATCTTAAGTTTCCTCCTTCTGCTATGGATTCAAAATGGACAGGTGTAGATGTATGTATGTAGGTATGTATGTCTCTAGCATGTATATATCTGTATTATGTATAGGTATGGGTAGATGTATACTTTCTTTTGTATATCTGTATTATGTATGGGTATGGGTCGATGTATACTTTCTTTTGAGAACAGCAACAGAATTTCATTTTTAATGTGTGCCAGTGTGGTCACAGTAAAAAGTCACAATAAAGGTTATCTATCTTAAAAAACATTTCACATTTCAAAAATTATTTTCACACAGATCCTGAAAACTGCCAAATTCTGAGACAAAGACTACATGACACAACAACATGAGCGAGAATAAATGTGACACACAGTTTTACAGTGTTCAAGTTGCGGATTCAACATTCACTGTACTAAAACGCTACCAGCAATTGAAACCTATAGGCTCTGGGGCTCAAGGCATTGTTTGGTGAGTAGGCAAACAAATAGCAGCACCTAACTTTTCTTGGTTAATCCCAAAGAAATTTAGTAGGATTATTTGTATGGGGAGCCCCCAAGGAATCCTAGGACAGTAGGCTAAATTATTTAAAAAATAACCTGGCAGTTGACAATGGCAAAACAGTTAGATATTGCTAACAAGCAAGCTGCTACAGTGTGTTCATCAAATCTCAGGAAACAAGCTTGACTTGAGAGTCTTCATCTTTTATTTGCAAACACTAATATAAACTGCTAAAAAACAGTCTACCTCTAGGAACAGTAAAATAGTAAAGTGTTAAAATTACCCAAATTTTAAATACTTCATATATAAGAATTGTTAGATGGTTAGTGGCTGGGTCTTCCCAGAGCCAACCTCCTCTCCCTGCCTCCAGCCACGACAGTCATTCAGCCTAAAGAGATATGGGGAAAGTATGACTGATGTTTATGAGGCTACCAAAATAAACATTTCCAAATTGTACAGTACTGTACAGATAAACCTCAATTTACAGCTCTAATTGAATTAGGAATTATGATCTTTAAGTTGTGGCTTAAGCAGGTCACTATGTGACTATACCTGATTTTACAATCTTATTTGCGACAGTCATTAAGTGAATGCTATAGTAGTTAAGCAAGTCCATTTTCTCCAGTGGATTTTTTTTGTTGGAAACTGGGAGTAAACACCAGCAACCAGCAAAAATATCTGAAAATCAACCATGTGTCCATGGACACCACAAACAGTTGTAAATATGAGCTGGTTGCCAAGTACTCAAAATATGATCATGCAACTGTGAGCTGTGTGTGGCTGTTGGTACTTTGAAAACAGGCTGTAATAGTTCTGGAAAGATCAGTTGTAATTTTGTGCAATTGCTAAGCATCTGGTCATTAAGCAAGAACTATATTTTAATAACTCAGCCAAAACAGCATCCTAACTCTTGGCATTCACTTTAAGGAACAGCTAGATGACTTATATAATAGCTCAGGTGTTTGAGCAAATTAAAGATGGTAACAAACAACATAGTACTCTAGAAAAAGTACAGAGAAGAGCAACCAGGATGATTAGGGGACTGGAGCCTAAAACATACAATGAATGATTGCAGGAACTGGGCTTGGCTAGTCTAGTAAAGAGAAGGACCAGGGGAGACATGATATCGGTCTTCCAATATCTGAGGGGCTGCCACAGACAGGAAGGGGTCAATCTATTTTCTAAAGCGCCTGTAGGCCAGACAAGGAATAACGGATAGAAACTGAACAAGGAGAGATTTAATCTGGAAATAAGGAGAAACTTTCTGACAGTGAGAACAGTCAACCAATGGAACAGCTTGCCCCCAGAAGTTGTGGGAGAGCCATCACTTGAGACCTTCAAGAAGAGATTGGACTACCATTTGTCAGAAATGGTGTAGGATCTCCCACTTGGGCGGAGGGTTGGACTAGATGACCTCTTCCAGACACTGGTTATCTGTTAGATGAATTTAGATTAGGGAACAGATAGCATTGCGTCAGGGGTGCAGAAATGTATGGATCAATGAATAGCTCTTCAAAATCTGACATATATTGCCACCTTACATTTTAATGTTATTGTTGAAGAGTTGCTATAGGTACATGGGTTTTCTGGGACTGGATATCCAGGGTTCCCATCTCATCTGGGACTGTTTAACCCTTTGCCAGAAAGTTCTTGGTATACTTCTAAAATTCATAGGGGCAATCATTGGAGGGAATCCTTGCTTCGTTCTGGAGCTCCAGTCAATCATTGTACAGTAACTGCATTGATGCTTGTTTGTCTCCCTACCCCTGTAGAATTCCCTTTGCATACACATTGGATGCTAATCTTATCTTTCCTCACTCCTATGCCCATTCACTCAGCTTAGCAGTACAGTATGCTGGCCATGATCCTAGTTGTTGGGAAAGCAGGAGTTTTATGTGCACTGCTCAGAGCAGAATGCTAGTTGGCTCAAGTTGTCATTGCTTTCAGCACACACTAGTCTTGTTTTCAAAGAACCTGAACTAGAATGTTTCTGCTTCAACGTTTCAGTGCTGCATTTGATACTGTCCTTGGAATAAATGTTGCTGTAAAGAAGCTGAGTCGCCCTTTCCAGAATCAAACCCATGCAAAGCGAGCTTACAGAGAACTAGTGCTGCTAAAGTGTGTGAATCACAAAAATGTGAGTAAATTTAATGTAGCATATATTGAAAATATGTATTGTATATTGAAACAAAATGACTATCAAATCATGAGATGGGTGGGTGGATGGAGGGGGGAGGGAGGGAGAATCTAGGAATGTGAGAAATACTTAACAAAAATGTCAATAAAAACATATTTGTATGTTTTTATTGTGGAATTTTCAACCATTTCTTGCATTAGGCTTATTTAGTATAATTATTGATATGACGTATTAGCACAGCAGCTTCTATTACATTGTTGCTAATTTCATTAATTTTAACATTTTAATAGCATATAGTTTATTGTACCTTTGCAAAGATTGCTTACACTGAGGTGTAAAATTATACAAGCAAGTTTTTATATGTGGCTAATAAAATAAAATGCTTGAGCCAGAAACAAACAATGGCAAACCACTTCTGAAATCTTGCTTGAAAAACTGCAGGGATTGTCTATGCAGTTGCTAGGAGTTAACTCTGACATGAAACCCAAGAAGATAGGCTCAACATCCAGATGTATCTTGACAGACTAGAACACTGGGCCGTATCAACAAAATGAAACTCAATGTAGAGAAAAGTAAAGTCCTACATTTAAGAAAAACCAAAAGTACACATATAGACTGGGTGAAACCAGGCTCAATAGCAGCAACTGTGAGAGGGATCTTGGAATCTTAGTGAACAACCAGCTAAATATGAGCCAGCAGTGTGCAGCCGCTGCCAAAAAAGCTAATGCAGTCCTAAATTGCATTAACAGAGGGATACAATCAAGATCAAGTGAGGTACTAATACCACTCTATAACGCCTTAGTAAGACCACTCCTAGAGTACTGCATCCAGTTTTGGTCACCACATTATAAAAAAAGATGTTGAGACTCTAGAAAAAGTACAGAGAAGAGCAACCAGGATGATTAGGGGACTGGAGACTAACATATATGAAGAATGGTTACAGGAACTGGGCATGGCTAGTCTAGTGAAGAGAAGGACCAGGGGAGATATGACAGCAGTGTTCCAATATTTGAGGGGCTGCCACAGAGAGGGGGTCAAGTTATTTTCTAAAGCGCCTGAAGGCCAGACAAGAAATAATGGATGGAAACTGAACAAGGAGAGATTTAACTTGGAAATAAGGAGAAACTTTCTGACAGTGAGAACAATTAACCAATGGAACAGCTTTCCCTCGGAAGTTGTGGGAGCATCATCACTTGAGACTTTCAAGAAGAGATTCGGCTGCCATTTGTCAGAAATGATGTAGGGTCTCCCACTTGGGGGGAGGGTTGGACCAGATGACCTATATAAGGTCCCTTCCAACTCTGATTATCTGTTATCTGAAAGCACAAAAAAAGCGGGTGGGGAGCAGAAAACTTTAATGATTAATAATATTAGTAGATTTGAGTATTAATAGAATATCTGGAAACATTTACATAACAGTTTTGGAGTAAATGTATCTGTCGGTTGTCATTACAGTCTAAGATAATGTCATGTAGCAAATCTTTATAATTTGCATTAAAACTTTTCACCAATTATGATAATTATAAAAATTGCTTTCTATAAGGTGGGAAATGTGTAGAATATATTGTTCTGAAAATACTTTTATTTACATTAGCTTTTGTTTCATTTTGTACTAAATCTACTCTGAAGGCTGTTTGAAAGGGTTTTTTTCTTTAATATATACTTCAACCGTAAAATGTCAGATATAATTATATGCTCAGTGCAGCCATATAAAACTGTATATAAGAAATTGAGATAATATTGTTGAAACACAGATCTCTTATTAGAAAAAACTAAAAAAGTTTCAGATTTTTCATAAACATCTATTTACCATATATATTAATGTTGCCAAACATTGCTGAAGGTGGAATGATGGTTCACTGGCTTGCATTATAAATTGCAACCGATATTTCTATAAATTTATTAAAATGGCTTAGACAATAACATCTTGACTGCTCTTTATGGTTTTGTGACCTCCTCCAAACTAATAAGACTTGGTTTTACTGCATTATTGCATTTTTACAGTAGCATTTTAGAATCTTTGTACTGTATATTCTTTGATCTTAGCACTCCCAGAATGCTTCATATTAACAATTACTGGATGATCTGATTATTATATCATCATTGTGCAATTTTGTGGTTGTGCTAATTTTGTTTATTTTTATCTGACTTCTGGTTTTACAGATAATTAGTCTATTAAATGTATTTACACCACAGAAGTCATTAGAAGAATTTCAAGATGTGTAAGTTTATTTTTTTTTATTTATTGTTTTTTTTCATAAGTATATATTTTGACCAACAGTAAGCTGAACATATGATGCTTCCAAATGTATCATTAATAATCTTTCAGTAAGTATGAGAAATGTATATATATATAGATCTCTGTCTCTCTCTCCCTAATTTGTTCATTTTTAATCTTTACTAAACAAACCTAATTGTTAAAGATACAAATAGTTTTTGACTTAGAACCATTCATTTAGTGACCATTTGAAGTTGCAATGACATTGAAGAAATTTTCTTTAACACAGACTGGGCAAAATGAAATATTTTAGCCTTTCCATATACTGTTATTTTTTTGCTCCATAAGATGCACTTTTTTGCTCCCAAAAGTGGGTAGAAATATCTGTGCATCTTATGGAGCAAATATGTGTGACAGGCAGCAGTGGTGAACAGCAGCAGCAATCCCTGCCTCCTGGAACAGCTGATCGGCGGTATTCCGGGAGGCTGATCCAACTGCCGATCAGCTGCTTGGAGGTGAAGGCTCCAGCGTTCCTGCAGAAGCAGCAGACATGGAGGAGGCAGGCTGTTTGCTGCAAGGACACTAGCCAGATGAATACCAGATGGGTGCTGGGAGGCAGAGGCAGATTTTTTTTTTCTTGTTTTCCTCCTCTAAACCTAGGTTGCGTCTTATGGTCAGGAACGTCTTATGGAGCAAAAAGTGCGGTATCCCAGATTTCTTCACTGTCTATATAAATTTCAGCTAAGAATAGTAGTAAGACAAGTTATTTTCCCATTAAAGTGCATATTGGAAATGATTTTTGGGGTACAATAACCTGTTTGGTATATAGTTCACATTCTTGTTTTAACTATATTCTACTTTGTTGTGGACAACATGCCATTTTAAAGAGTCTGTCGGTTGGATGGCCAGCCTGCTTGCCAGCCTGCCTGCCTGCCTGCCGGCCAATCGATCAATTGGTCGATCGATCTTCTGTAGTTGTAATCCAAAGAACTCTCAGTTATTAATAAAAAATAAAAATCCACAATAAAATGCGAACAAATATAACAGAAACTAAGAATGATAAATTTATCTGTAACAGCAGACAGCACCTCTCCAATAATTATCTCAACGTTCTCCAGAGAAGAAGAAGGTTGTTACTTAGTTTTGGACTACAAGAAAACAACCATGCTCAGAGATCACCAAGGACCCCGTTCAACTCTGAGCTACAAATACTGTCTTTTATTGCCAATTTGTTTTCCTGGTTTTTTAAATTTTGCGCTGGAGTCATATATTTAAGATTGGATAGGCACTGGGAAGATCCAGCTGCTAGTCTACTCTCAAGCCTGAGTTTGACTTTGGCTAGTCTTTCTTGACCCACCTGACCTCAGAGTTGCCATGGGGAAAATTTTAATAATTCTTTTAAATGTTTCAAGTTTAACACTTTAATCAATTATTTAATTTTAATTGTAATTTTCTGTTCTTTGTTCCATTTATACTAAGCACTTTCTATTTGACTTTAAAATAAAATAAAAAGGTGCAAAGCTGGCTGTTAAACACTGTGACAATCCTTGATTAAAATGATTTCTGCATAAACATGCAGGTATTCCTTGCTTAATGACGATCCTGTAGAGCAACTATTCAAAGTTACTATGCTGCTGAAAAAGTAACTCTACAACCAATCCTCACACTTACAACCATCACAAGGTCCCTGTAGTCATATGATGAAGATTTACGCACTGCAGAATCAGCAGGGGCTTACGAAGTCAGAGTGTTTTCCAGTCATGTTTTTGCAATTTGTATGCTTCAAAGCCAGTTTCCAATAAGGAAAGTGAATGGAGAAGCCAACAGTAAAGTTGCAAGTTGTGGTCATGTGTTAATGACTGAATGGGAAATGATGTCAGAAATCCATCATGGTCATGTGATTAGTGACCACATAATTTAGCGATTGAGTTGCTAGTCCCAATGGTTAATTAAGCAAGGACTACCTGTACTATAGTTTTAAGCCTGTGTTATCTCACTTATTGTACTGGAGTTATTTTATATTGAAGAAAATACACTGATGACTTGAACTGTGTATGCATGAAATAGAATAAATGTTAATTACTTTTTAAAAAATATTTCAGGTATTTGGTTATGGAATTGATGGATGCTAATTTATGCCAAGTTATTCATATGGAGCTGGATCATGAAAGAATGTCCTATCTTTTATACCAGATGTTGTGTGGGATCAAACATCTTCATTCAGCTGGTATCATCCACAGAGTAGGTAGTGCTGTTATATCACACTATTCATTGACTTTTATTTTGCATTGTTGTATCTACATCTTCTGTAAATCTTTCTCTAGTTCATTTATCTACCTCAGCAAAAAATAAATGTGTATATAATGACATTAATTTTAATGGATTACTTAGATGCACTGTTACTAAGAATCTTACCTGTCATGGTTTTATCAAAATACATAATTGGGTAAGATTTTTTTAGAGCTATACTGTTGCTTTGATACTCGTCTGTGGATTTTGACATGAAGAATGCACAGGTGTTTTGCACAATTTATTTATTCTGTTCCACTGCAAACCAAAGGAGCTCTCTACAGCTTATAGGAATAATATTAAAATATATAATGAGAATCAAATTATTTGCTTTTTAAGGAGAGTCTGTTCTGTTTCCTCCTTCTTCATGGCAAGCAGCACCACCTTGTGTCCTAAGGATCCATTAATTGTCATATATATCCAGCCTCCTATTATGTCCCTGGAGTGGAAATATTTGAAATGTAAACATGATATTGTTAGATACCTGCATTTAAATGCATAATGGTTGTATAACCATTTAATGCTAATATTATGGGATTACCATGCTTTACAGAAAAGTTCAGATAGCTAGACATTATTGTCTTTGATATGCTACAACCCCTCTCTATATTTTCTCACTTTAAGTTATTTTTTTTTCTTTTCCAGAAAAGGGGAATCCACTAAGTAGAAAAGGATGGTGGTGCCTTTAGATTGTAGTGGTGTAGGAGCCATCTCTCTGAAGGCATCCAATTCTTAAGATGAAATTTAGAGAGTGTCTTTTTTTTCTTCAAATTAACCTCTGCCCAAAACTGCATGTTCTTAACTATTACCTGTCATTTTATTCAGAATTAGGGTTAATAATTTAAGGCTATAGCCCACCTAGATGTTCTACTTTTTACATTTATTTTTAAAATAATGTGTTCACTTGAGAGTTCCTCAGTGTGGACCACACTGTCAGTATTATTAGTCAACAATAAACACCAGATAAATTTACAAAGAAGTCTAAGCACTTTTCCAGCTGTCGAAAATATGCCACCGCTAAGGCAAAATGGGAGTAAAGTTTCAGTTCCAAATAACCTTTTGAATAGAGGTAATTGAGAACAGGGTTCATTGGAATTCTCAATCAGCTGGAAAGCATCCGTGAAATCTTTCAGCATCTGTTCAGTGTGATTAATTGATCAATTGGTTTGCTTGTCATGTATGGCAGCCTAATAATGTGCTGACTTCTAAGGATTATACTACTTTTGCAGCATTTAACTGTATGCATTTTTGTCCTTAGGATTTAAAACCCAGCAATATAGTAGTAAAATCAGATTGTACTCTCAAAATCCTTGACTTTGGACTTGCAAGAACAGCATGTACTAATTTCATGATGACCCCATATGTAGTAACACGATATTATAGAGCACCAGAAGTTATTCTTGGCATGGGATACAAAGAGAATGGTAAGTTACAGAATAGAAGTGACATGTTTGGAGTACTTGATCAATGGTTCAATTTTTCTGTTTTTTCACTGTCTTACCACAAGCTTACTGGTTTCAGACTGTAATTTAGTTTTCTTGCCGAGTGAGGTAACTACCTCAGTCAGTTTGGCTAGGCTTATTCAGAGAAGGGGTCTTTCTTTTGAAGATGGAGATGGCATAATGTAATATCAAGTGATATAACTAACCAGGGGTGCGATTCAAATTTTTTAACAACTGGTTCTGTGGGTGTGGCTTAGTTGGTGGGCGTGGCTTGCTGGTCATGTGACTGGCTGGGTGTGGCCAGCTCAACACCACTCGCATTGAGGCACGCATCTCCTCGCCCGGCCTCTCATGACTGGAGATGCTGCAACAGTCGTAAGTGTGGAAAATGGTCATAAGTCACTTTTTTCAGTGCCATTGTAACTTTGAATGGTCACTCCACACAAGCAAAATACCAGCAAAGGAGGGGAAAAATACTCCAGAGATGTTCCTGAGACAGGAAGTCTAGTCCTGCCAAGAATGTAATAAAGGTTAACGGAGAGGCAGTTTCTGTAAGCAACATCAGAATGTTTCCTTCCTGCCTTCCTTACAGGATTAGGCCAGTAATTTCTTCTAACAACCGGTTCTCCAAACTGCTTAGAATGTTAACAGCCGGTTCTAGAGAATAAGTGCGAACTTGTAGAATCCCACCCCTGTAACTAACTCAGCCATCAATACCAAATAGCCTCTTGAAATGAAGAGGATCTCATGTTTTGGCCTAGTCTAGGAAGTAGCTTTAGTAACAGGGGATAATGTTTTAGTGAGTAGCAGTTCCACACTTGACCCAGCTGCTCATTTATGCAACTTTAGTTCTCAGCACTTTCTGAAAAGTACCTGCTGATTGCTTACAGTAAAAGTGGGACTTCTGTCCTTGATTACTCTATACATGATAGTTGACAGAAACTTTCTGCAATATCTTCATGAGTACAGAATGAAAGTTAATGATAAAATTGATTCCCTGAATTGCTACATGGCAATTGGAATTTTAATGATAAAATATGCTACCTGCAAATAAGCCAAGTGTTTTTTAATTTTCACAATTGACTTACCCACAGGTGGTGGATCTTTCACATTATTTTGGTTGAAAATACAGCTTATCCATGATTGGTTGGCTTTATTGATAGATTTATATAGGATATATGGGTACTTTAAAAAATTATTACCATGTATAGTTGCAGAAAACCAAAACTCAAATCTTTGGGTGTTTTTTGATATTTAAAATTCTTGGCTGATTCCCAAATATATGAAGTACATTTGTCAATGACTCCACAGTGCAATTATTTTATGAAAATATATGTATAGATTTTTTAAAAATGTTTAATTTTTATCCCCCGTTACACTTAACATTTAATAGTGGATATCTGGTCTGTTGGGTGCATAATGGCCGAAATGGTCCTCCATAAGGTCGTGTTTCCTGGAAGAGATTGTATCCTTTGCAGCTCTTTCAGGGAGTTCAGATTATTCAAAATAAGCCTTTGTGTGTGTGTGTGTGTATGTGTGTTGTTTGTGCGTGTGTATGTGTAAAGCAAATTTCTTGTATGTCCATTTTATATGTGGATATATATGGATATACATAAGATTTACTTTTAATGATGTTCTGGTATTTTAAATTTGTAATTAGATCATTATTCCTGTCCATATTGTTCCAAAACATGTTAGCTGTTTTACTTTATGCATTGTTATGTTTTAAATGTAAAAATGTTTTTTCGTTTTCTGCTTTAGTTCATAACACTTCATAATTTTATCATTTCACTTTTACTTTCAGTTGATATCTGGTCAGTTGGTTGCATCATGGGAGAATTGGTGAAAGGTTGTGTGATATTCCAAGGCACTGATCGTATCCTTCCCTAATAATCTTTGAATCCTAATTCATATTTAGCAACAAGTTATTTGATTTATGGGTGTAAAAGATGCTAATCCCATATACTCAGTGGAACAGTTCTTTCTTGTATGAACCAAATTTGTGAAATTTGTTGTTTTAACAAACAGCTAAACTTTTATTTTCATATTGATTGCATTAACTTTAATTTTTGAACATTAGTTGTCCATTACAGGAGTTTTATATTTTTGCAGTTTTAATAACGCAACAAACTTATTTAAACTGAAAATTCTGCAAACTGTTGCTCAAAATTTAAATGATTGCTTTTTTCATTTTTCTGCACGATGGAAATGGACTCAACTATGGTTTTGTCTTGTCACTTCTTATTCTGCTACATACCTAAAGAAGGCATGAAGGTTAGAAAAGTATAATTACAAATGCTTAATTTTAGGTATTTTAATGGTTGATTATGTATTAACCTATTAACTCAATAAAAGAGAGGAAGCTTGATTTTCATTTTTTTGAATTTCTACCCTGTGTATTCTTTTATTCTCTAAAGCCTTATGACCAACCTAACACAATTCTTCATGAATGCTGTGTCTCCTGTGGATTTCATGTTAATGCTGATTTTCGTATTTGCTGTCTTCATATATGTGTCTTTCATGCTTAGTAGAACTCTGCAATAAATATATCTTAGTTATGAGAATCTTGCTGACCTATTACCCATATTGTTACTTTGTATTTCTGAAGTTGTATTGGATTGAACGTAATTTGCAGAAATAATTGCAGTTTCTTCAGAAGTGTTGTTTCTGTTTTTGATTGAACAGGAACAGATGAGAAAGCAGTGGTCTTCATGTGTTAGTGTTTTAGGTCAAGAGTGGATAACATTTTAGGGTGGAGGCTGTAACTTAGCCTTCTTGATCTAGAGCAGGGGTGTCAAGCTCATGTCGTCACGGCGGCATCACGTGACATATCAGGACTTTTTATCTCTTTGCTAAACCGGGCATGGTGAGCGCATGATGCATCTGGCCATGGTCCAGGAGTTTGACAGTCCTGATCGAGAGGGTCATATATGGAGGATGCAGTGATGTCATTAAAAGAGGTGTGACTGATTTTTTTTTGCCTTTGTTATATTTGGCAGGGGAAGGATGTATATTGTCCTAGGAAGTATATTGTTACAATGCTCACCTAAATTCAGAAGAGTGGCTCCAAATTTGTGTCCTTTCCCCTTCCTATCATCTAGAAGAATCTTCAATTTAACTTTAACTGTGCTGTTAATTCCCTAATCTGATGTTCTTCAGAAGTATAAAAACTTCAGGTGTTTTTAAAAATATTCAAGGTATCATGAAATACTATTCCTAGAGAGAAAGGCATGGGATTAGTCCCATCAATGGATGGAATATAAAAGCTCAGAAAGATTATCTTGATAACTTCATATCTCCAGCATGAAAGGCACAGATTTCTAAAAATTAGCATTACCTTTGAAATATACAACAGTTTCCTTCCATATTTATGTTGAAAATTGTTATCTTTATAATGTGAGCCTGCTATATTGTGTTTATTCCCCTCCCCTTTATACGTCTTGCTCTGCATCCATGCTTCTTCAATATACTTTCTAAGTACTTTTTCTCTGTTGGGTTGTCCAGTTGATGTAATGATTTCCTTACCTGTCCTATTGATTCCTTGCAGGGGCTGATATAATTATGTTAGTGGTGAGTATCTATGTTCATATTGATCATTGAACAGAACTTTTTTATAGTCTTGGGTAGAGCCAAGAAAATGAAGAATTAATGTATTAATATTTTAAATATGTTTATACACACAAATACACATTTTTTGCTCCAGACTGATCAAATTTTTTAATAAAAATATTTACCTATAGAGGAAAAACTGTCTTTATTTGCATAATTTAGCATCTGATTGTTTTGATATTTTATAGTACTAGGTTTTGTTTATAAAATATATATAGCCACCTGTCTCCTTCCCCAAAGGGGACTCTGACCATGTGTCAGAGAAGGAACCTTCGTTTTGAGCTGTTAAGCTGACAATCTTATATTTATAAAATTGTCACATATTTAGGGTAGCTAGAGGCAGAAAGGATATACAATATATGAAATATATTAACTACCAGGAGGCAACATGTAATTGGTTTCATTCCTACTAAGAATCTTCAGTTGTATGTAGCCAGATATTATCCTATATATAGTATATTAATAGCTACAGAGAAGGTGAATTATACATGCCAATCTGATAGAGTCTATATTTTTATCTTCTGTCTAGCTTTCTAGCTGATTTAAATAGCTACCCATCTCTTTATGAAACACTGGTGATAAATAGGATGTGGCTAGCTTTTAAAGCTAATGCTTTGTATATATAGTCATCTAAAGTGCAATGGGCTATGAATTCTGATCCCAGTAGAAGGTTTGAATCCCATAAAGAAAGATCTGCTTGCTTATATCTGACAGTTCCCAATAAGGATGAAACTGGTCACCTACTGCCTCCTGGTGGTCAGTGTGGCTGAACATACCACCCGGGTCATAAAATATGAAAATAGAGAAATTTTAGAGAAAAACAAAGAAATTGAAAGTCATGGAAGCATGACATCTGTCTCTACACCTTTCTGCTTAAGGGAAGATGAAGAAACCATATATGCCATTCTGATAGTATATTAAATAAAGTATCAGAATAGTTAACAGCATTAGTAAAGCTAGTTGTACAAATGCACTGAAAGCTCCAATACACACATACACACACATACACAAACACACACATATAAAAATATAAAAGGCACAGCGTATTGTAATTTTCAAGTAGCTGTCAGCATTGTCTTACAAGTAGTCCTTGACTTAGGATCATAGCAGGGAGTGGAAAATTTATTGTTAAGGAGTACAGTTGATAAGTGAGGCAGCATACGATGATGCCCAATTTTACAGCCCTTTTGCCACAAGTGAATCACTTGTAGTCATTAAGTGAAACGTCATGTGACTGCAATTTGCAATCTCCTTCCGGCTTCCCATTGACTTTGCTTGTTGAAAGCTGGCTAGGAAAATCACAAACAGCAATTACGAATGCTGCAGTATCCTGCAACTTTTGCAAGTACCAGCTGGTTGCCAAGCGTCCAGATCATATGACTATAGGGTCACTGCAATGGTCATAAATGTGAGGACCAACTGTTAACTTCTGCCACTTTTTTCATTGCTCTCATAACTTTTAACAGCCACTAAATGAATGGTTAAGTGAGGACTACCTGTACTTTTCCTTCTAGAAAATACAAATCTCAATATATTTTTCTCCAAAATAGTGACATTAAACTGCACATGAAAGCTATTGTGTTCTCCTTGTCAGTTGGGCTGTGCTGCTTAAAGAAGAGGCTCTATAATGAAGGGTAGAGGGGTAGATTTGGAATTTTGGAACAGACTGGATACTCACACAAAGCTTCTTTCAAGGTAGGGACGCGAAGTCCTGAAATATCCACCCATTTACTTTTAGAAAGTATAAAAAGGTATTGGGAAGATTTAAAAAATCCTATATTTGCCTGTTATATTTAATTTTGTTCCAGTTAAAATCATTTTTGCATCATAAGTGTAGAACATTAAGAGTGTTGGATGCCAAGGGAAGTGTCTGCAAATGCATAAGTGCATATAGTTAGAACTATGCTTCAACCACTTCACAGCACTCTTGAAGTATTTTGTTACGTGAATTAGAGATTATTCACAAAAGTATTTAAAAGAGAACTAATTTCAGAACACTCATTATAAATACTTAACCCCTTATTCAGTTATTAAAAACACTAGGCTGTATTCTGTGAGTAAATGCAGTTAGGTTAGAAATTTTTGTAAATGTATTTCAATGTTGACAGAGAGTATAAATAATTTGGTTTGCTTTAACTATTTGATTTTCAGGTGTTTTAAAAATATTCAATGTATCATGAACTACTATTGAAGAGCATGGGTTCAGAGTGAAACAGAAACTAAAAAGAAACATAGTTCATTTACCCTATTAATTTTAGCAGCATTATTCACAGTCAGTCTTGTGAACTTTGTTCCTCCAAATTAATGGTTCTTGAGATTTTGTTTTGTTATCACAATTTCTGTAAGAATCTATTTTGTGAAATAAAGATATTTTTTTAAAATAGCAGCTAATTTTTGCAAAGTTCCACATATTTACAATATAAAGTTGGAGGAAAAAATATGTTATTTTCCTAAATGAAATTTTTGCAGATATTGATCAGTGGAATAAAGTTATTGAACAATTAGGTACACCATCAGCAGATTTCATGAAAAAACTACAGCCCACTGTACGAAATTATGTAGAAAACAGGCCGAAATATCCAGGTATCAAATTTGAAGAACTCTTTCCAGACTGGATATTTCCATCAGAGTCTGACCGTGATAAACTAAAAAGTAAGTTTATGTATATATGTTTCAGTAAAGATTTAGGATTTATGTCCTGTTGCTACATTTTTGTAGAAATGTGTATTTGTCAGGTTACAAGCCAAAATCTAGCATGCTAATTTGATTTTATAATGGAGATTGTTGGTTTATTATTTCATTTTTTTCAACTAAATCAGCCTGAAGTTCCAATGAATTAATTTAATTATGGAAATTCAGGTATCAAGCTCCAAGATCAAACTTTGAAATTTAGCATTTTGAATGATAGTTTAAGTGTTGAAGAAAAGTACACTACTTATTCTAGTTGATACATCTCAACCAGTTGCTGTAAGAAATTGTGGTCATCTGGTTTTAATTATCTGATTATATTTACAAGTAGTGCTCATATCAGTGAATATTGTGAATATTCACAGTGATATTATGAATATTCCAAGTTCTGATATTTCTTATTACCTATATTAATAAACAAACCAAAGAATAAATTAACTTTAACAATGAAATGCCTTTAATATGTTAGATAGATGGACAGACAGAATTTTATCTTTATGCATCAAAATTTTAATTATAAGATGTTTTTTAATTCCTGTTTTCCAGCAAGTCAAGCTAGAGATTTACTATCAAAAATGCTAGTAGTAGATCCAGACAAACGAATTTCAGTAGATGAAGCTTTGCGACATCCTTATATCACAGTTTGGTATGACCCAGCTGAAGCAGAAGCAGTAAGTATACCTGAAGGTCTTTTTATTTTTATGTATATAAAAATAACAAATAAATAAATTTAACATTTTACTACAATTTACATGACATATAAATCATCTGAAGATAGTATTCATGCTAAGAATTTAAAATTCACTACAAGATTTTAATATTGGAAAAGCCAATTAAAATAGATGATGCTTGCATTTCACATTCATAAGTCATTGATAAGTCATTTGGTAAGGGTTCTGCATATAGGGCATTTATAGATAGACTTCAGTCCTCTGTTAAAAATATTAATTCCAATACTTGAATTGGACTTGAAAATTTAATAGATTTCAGTTCAGATGACAACATATAGGCATATCATCATCACAGTCACTACCACTACCTCAAGAGTGCACCAAAATACTGTTCCCAGCTCCATAAGCAATGGTTTCATTTTTAACTGTAATATTTGCAGTTGTATTTATCAAAAGATAAAGCAGCACTGTTTTTTCGTTTATAGCCACCCCCCCAAATCTATGATGCACAATTGGAAGAAAGAGAACATGCCATTGAAGAATGGAAAGGTAAGTAAAACTTGCAATATATTAAGGAACTTTGATAAAAATATTTTGCAGATATCCCCTAAGTAACTGGAATAGAAATAAAGTGATATATCCTTTTGTGTAAATCAGTGTCTGTTCCTGCTAAGCAAATTTATATTCTATTCAATCAGTATTGATATTTAAGATTGGGTTGTTTTAATTTAAATGTCACAAGTCATTTTCATCATCAACAATGAAAACATTTTCATCTGCAATAAAATTTAGAACTTTAATGATTTTGCACAAGCTCTAGAGCTCAGGACCATATACTGTAGGTTAGAAACATGCAGAAGAGGCCTTCATCCTGCAGTGGATAGACAATGGCTAAAATGATGATGATATATAAGAAGTGTATTATTATATCTTATGTCCATATTTCTCTTCTTTGTATGCAGAGTTAATATATAAGGAAGTAATGGATTGGGAAGAAAGAAATAAGAATGGTTTGGTAAAAGAACAGCCTTCAGGTTAGTCATTGATGTAATAGATTGGGTTTTTTTTTCATTTACAATTTTTTATGGTAGTTTATTTTATCCATGGTTGCTAATAAAGGATATGTACCAAATAAATTATACATCTTGCAATGGATAATATGCACACTTGACTAAAAACAAGATAAAAAGCATATGGACAACGAACAGTAGCTTTTTGATTACCAAAAAAAAAAAAAAAAGGCTGTAAAGAGTTAAAGACTTTTATATGGATGGAGAGATACATTATTTCTCTTTGAAACAATTTTTCTTGATGTATGCTTGGTGGCTGGGAATTCTGCTTTATTCAGAAATAGTTTCCTGGGGGGAAAGGGCAGATTCATTGCTTTTGATGGGAAACAATACTTTGCTTTCTGTTTACCACTGTAATCTCTCTTAACTGTAGTATATGACAGAGATGAATAAAAACACTGCCTGATTTGCACTCCAAGGGAGGGTGTTAAGTGTTATCGGTGTCAGTTTGCACCTAGCTTTCAGGAACAAATCAAAATAGTTATTTCTATCAATTTTGGAAATGCAAAGTCTTATTATTATCCAAGCTATTACTTGTCCTGAGAAAATCACAGGCCTGTGTCCTGGCAGACAGTGTTACCAAAAGTATTATCTATTCATGATGCTAAATCAGTGGTGGTATTCAACCGGTTCTGCCTGGTTCTGGAGAGCTGGTAGGAGCGATGAGCAGCGGAGACCAAACCGGTTCTCTCCGCTGCTCTGCTGCCTCTGCTGTTGGGCCCACCTGCCTGTCCAGGCTCCCATACTCACCTTTATCCGCTGAATTTGAAGCGCAGCTGCTTTGCGCGGCACACAATAGTGCTGCGCGGCAGCTGCTGAAGCGACCGGGATCTTGCAGGCTTGCAGGAGGCGAGTTAGAATATCTCTGTGCCTGTGCAAACCCCTCTGCACCTGCAAAAAGTGCGCGTTTGGCACGTGCGTGTACACAAAGTGTGTGCACGTGCACAAAGCGTGCCCACCAAGCCACGCCCACCGAACTGGTGGCAACAATATTTGAATCCCTCCACTGCCCTAAATGTGATTTTCTTGCAACATTGTAGATAGCTACAGCTCTTCATTTTTCTTGTGAAAATTAAGCATAGAGAATGGAGCTGTTAATATGAAACTAGATATTTGAAAACATTCCTTGTAGAATAAGTTTATTATTCGTACAGAACTGAAATCTGTTCTTTCCACACATTCTGCACATAATCTACCTCTTCTAGTTTTATTTACTATAAATAAGCATTATACAGTATATGCAGGAATTGCATGGCGTGAAACTGCTAATCAGAGAATGGCACCCTCTTCCTAGTTATATTTTTAGGAAGAGCAGATATGGAGAGAGGGTTTGGGAAAATGCAGGTGAAAGGACACATCTGAGGTATTCAAGACTGTGAATACCATCCCTTGTCAAGAAGATAGTGCTAGGAATAATTTCAGGGGCAGTAAAAGCTGATTTTTGACAGGATATAGATAATAAGTGAACCTGTTTTAAAATTCATTTTTTTAAACTTTCACAAAAGATTTATTAAAAGTGCATGAGTTTCTGTATTGACTGTGTGTCTTCCCTTCATTCTGCCTGGTTTTGTTACCTTACAGACTAGCTTCAAGGGGAAAATTTTCAAATTGGCATTGCTTTTCCATGCATATGTTTTTAGGTGCGCATATCTTTATGCCACATAAAACACCTATGCTTTCAACCATGTCTTGCCTCAGATTTTCTTATGCTTGGTTTACTTAGCACAGATGCAGCAGTGAATAGCAATACCAGCCCTTCTCAGTCATCATCAGTCAACGACATTTCATCCATGTCAACAGAACAAACATTGGCTTCAGACACGGACAGCAGCCTTGATGCTTTGACAGGAACACTTGAAGGATGTCGGTGATCAGCTTTGAAGATTAAGATTAGCAAAGAATCTTTGCTTCTGTTGGGCCTCTTGCTTGTAAGTTCATGGAGCCAAATAGAAAACTTCATGTTCTGCATGTTCCTCTAAAATAATGCCTGTGATTTTACTCAGTTGCAGTAAAACTGTCTGCTTAATATTGTAGAGTGAAAGCAACTTTGTATGTCAAGGCAAATGAAATATAAACATTAATATAATACGTTTTGATCTATATCAGGTGAGCAGTTAAAATAACAAGATCAAACAAATCCATGGGCATTCTCACAGATATCTTTGAAAAACATGTTTATAAAAGAAATGTGTGTGTGTTTGAGAAAGGGGGGGAGGAAAGGAAGGAAGGAAAGAAGGAAGATGTAAATCTTGTTGAATGTATATTCTGTTTCTTAACTATTCAATTGCAGTCATATGCCATTCTTAATATACCTTGCTGGTATTCTCAATACTGTATAATATAGACACAATTGTTTTTCTGTATAGCACTCTTTTCTTGAGGCCTTTTTCTCTCCATCACCAAATAATATTGTACTCCTTCTCATAGAAGAAGCAAATTTGTGAATTTTTGCTTCACATTTTACATCTAAATGTGTTTTTGAATGTATTATTTCAGTGCTTTTCTTTAAAGAGTAGGTGGGATAAGTAAAGATAAGTCTTAATACTTATCAGAGTTAGGGTTTGTTTTTTCAAATAGCAACGTTGGCACCTGTTTTTAAGAAGTGACTAAACACTTGTAGGACCTTTATCTTCATTGCCTTTTCCTGGTATTAACATGGAGAATCTGATGTTGACATCATATTGGAGGTTACTTTGAGCCTCTTAACACTTTTAGTTGCTTTAGGTATGTTTTAAGGGACCACTACATAGCTTATAATTACTTTCAAAAATTCATATATGGGAAAAATTGAAATACATTATAAAAAGTGAAAGGAATCATTTTTAGAGCTAAAACACAGAGGTAAGAATTAGAGATAATCCTCACTTAGCAACACTAACTGGGACTGGGCTTTCCATTGGTCAGGGAAGCAGTCATTAGGCAAAACATGACATGGCTCCACCATTTAGTGACGGCAGTTCTGGTAGTCTCACTTGCATGTGTTAGGCAAGGACTTCTCACTTCTCCTGCCCTGCCATGCTAATCTCTGCTTCAACTCCCCTCACCCACTTATCTAGGCTCTTTTGGCTGTCTTGCATTCCACCACTGCCACTTATTCCTCATGACCCATGGTTGACCTCCGCCATCTTCCGGCTGACAAGACACCTCCGGCTGACAAGACACCGTGCAGTCATAAATGTGGTTGGCTGCCAAATGCCTGAATTTTGATCACATGATTGTGGGGGGTGACAGGGTTCTGAGTAATGCAGAACTCCGAGGCAGGTAGATTCCCCAAAGAACATGTTTATTGGACACACCATATCGACACAGCTAGTCAAACCCAACTCTAAAAGTTCCTATGGTTTTTCCCCTAATTAAAAGAGCAAATATTCCCTCCCCAGGTGTCACCAGTCACATTATCCAATGAAGGTAGCTGGGAGGTTGCTAGGCCACTCCTCTGCCATTTACTGGGATGACCTTGGTTCCCACAGGTCATCTTGGTTCTTGTTTTGATGGGTAGCTGGTTTATCTACTTCCTCCCTCCCTTCCCCCTTTCAAAGTTTACGGCAAGTATGAGGCAGGAGGAAAATGGCTTCAACCAGGTCAGCTTCAGAGTTGACGGGGTGCCAGAGCAGCCATAACGTTGCACTATAATTATGATTCATTTAGTGACAGTGTAATCTTGAATAGTCATTATGTGAGGACTACTTATAGTAATGTATGAAATATGTAAGGGTGGGGGTTTTTTAAAAAAAAATGCCCAATCTTGAGTGAAATTTGCTTTGCTTCAATTTCTTCCTACTCTGAACATGAGCAAAGTTGATTTAACAGGAAAATATTTATGTGACTATGTGGGTGGGTTGGCAGATGAGCATTGTGTTTTAGGGAAGGTATGGTGGATGGAACAAAGTTGTGAATCAAAGCCAGATGTTACAGTTATTACAGATTTCCAGGCTGTGGGAGGGGAGTTTCCCTTAGAAGATATTGGGAAAGGCTTATTGTGTATTATTGCCTTTTTCTTTGGGCACCAGCACTTTACTAGCAGGGCAAACATATGACTGGGAATAAGTCCTATTAAGTTTAATAAGTGTGATATAGGATCACAGCATAAATTCATTGTTTTTAAAAATAACATTTTTTAGCAATAGGTTCTTCAAAACACACTATCAGAATGAGCCCCACACTCCTGATTTCTCCAGATAGAATTTGCTATCAGATCTTCTGGCTATAAGATATTCATACAATTTTATCACTTGATAAAATTTAATTACTAAGTTGCAACTGAACATATTAATTGCCTTCCTTAAACATTCTGCTTGAGATATGAGATCACATGAAATGCCTGTGAGAGCTTATATGTTAGCAATTAACAGAATAATCCGTGTTCATATTTATCCTTAATGTATGATGTATAGACACAATCTATTATTTGCACTAATAAGGTATTTCAGAAGACAATATTAATGAGTAAAATAAAACATATTTCATTGCTAATTAAAATAAACATAGGAAACAAAAGAAAGACTGAAGTGAAAGAACATATCCAACAAAGAACATATCCAACAAAGCTTAATTCATAAAGTTGTTAAGCATTCCATCAAACTATTTTGAAATAACTCTGTAGCCCCTTCTTTTGCACAAAACCCATTTGATTTACCTGCATGAAATTTGGAAATGCTATCTATTTTGAAATGTAATATTGTGCCCCAAAGCAATCAGTTTTCCCCTGTAGGCTTAATCACATTTAGCCCATTTTAAAAAGATAGATTGCTTTTGAATTCATCCCATTCTGCCAAACAACCATAAAGCCACGGTTATGTTTTTCTTAAGCTATGCTGGGGTGATTAAACTCTGCAATTCACTTGGGATCAAGATCCCAGTTGGTACTTTATTTAACCAAAAAGAAGACAAGGATAGGAGTTTGACAAGACATAAATGTATATTGATTGAAGTTATAACTACTAATGAAAACTCATTGCCTGTAAAAATTAGGTTCCTCGTTAACAACATTAATTGATCTCCAACTTCATATACCAACATTCGCTGATCCATACAACCTGCCCCCCATTGCATGCAGAATCATCCAACTATACAGATGCATTTTTCCCTTTTATTCCATCAGAAGCCAACAATAGAATAAGATGGATATAGAATAAGATGAAGGGAGTAAGTAAGAATGGAAAGAAAGAGAAAGGATGGGAACAAAATGATTAGAGATTGGTTGGTGGGAAGAGTTACAAAGAAGGAAAGAAAAGAAAGAACAAGTCAGTTATAATTGAAATGTTTAAATTCAAGCTAATTTTCATAAAGAAAGCCAGTTGGTATAGTAGTGGTTAATGCACTAGGCTAGAAATCAGGAGACTGTTAAGTTCTAGTTTCAGCTTAAGTACAAAGCCAGCTAAGTGACTTTGGGCCAGCACTAACTCTCAGCCCTAGGAAGCAGGCAGTGGTAAACCATTTCCAAAATGTTGCCAAGAAAGACTAGGGGACACATACACAATCTTGAGACGTTCAGGCTGTGTGGCATGACCCCTTCAGCTATTAGTACTTCATGCTAATTGCTTTGTTTTCATAGCCTTTTCTATTTTCAGCAAATGTAAAATACTACCACATCATTCATAGAAAATTATTTGGGGTTAGGGAGTTTAGCTGAAGTTCTCTGGATGATCAGAATTTCTCTGCAGCCTTTGTCATTCCACAATGGGATTGGAGGAGGTAGAGGTGATACATTCGTGCATCTTTTCAACTGTCAAGCTGAAATGCCTGACAATATAGGTTTTTCCTATGTATTGCTGTAAAATTACTTTCCTTCAAAAAGAGCTTTAATCGGTTTGAAATTATGAAATTGTATAATAATTATGTAACTTTAAATAAAGCTAAACAATGTAAGGTTACATGATGCAACTCTTTAAGAGTTTGCATTGTACTTTCAGAAGTACTGTGAAAATAATCCTGTGTTTGGACTATTTTTTGTAAATATGGGTATTCATCATCTATAGGAACACTGAATATTAAAAATGTGTCTGCCTCTGCAATATATTGTTCAGCAGCAGTAAAAAATGGCATTTACACACTCTTGACATAATGATGCTTATTTCTTAAGCGCTGGTATAGACATATCACATATAGGATATTTTCCTTTTAGAGAAGAAAAGAGTGGTTTGGAATTGAAATACCCATTGTTTCTATGGTATGAATGCATAGGACTTTAACGTTTGTACTGTAATAGTTTGAGGCCAGTTCAGATTAGATAGATTAATTAGTCCTCAAATTTCTATGCTTTCCATCTTGAAAAATTTCCTTTGATTTTTCTTCACTTCAAAACTTTTTTTTTTTTTGAAAAGCGATATCCCATGAAACAACTCAGCTGTTTCTGAATTCTGAAGGCATTAGAATAGTGAGTATCTAGGCTATAACTAAACTGAGAATAATCATTGGCTAAATCCTTATTTGGAGAGAATGTGCTAAAGAAAGGGTAAAGCATAAATGAGTGGATTATTATCTAACAGGGAACAATGTTTGCTCTAATTATATGTTATAGCTTTTTTGTTTTATATATCTGAGGAGACAGAAAAATGTGGTTGTATGTACATATATTGTAGTTGCACTGGGACAACCAGTTAAGTGCAACTTTTATAGCAGCCATAAAACATTAATGTTATTGTTGAGCTACTTTCACGCTTTGCAAAAATCATGGCATAGAATTAATAATAATCACTGCCCTGTTAATGATACACACACACACACAATTTAAGTGATAGAAACATTTAACCCCACTTGGCTATATTTTTCTTCTACATTGCTCAATACAGCTTTATAACAGATTATAAACTGTTTGGAGGACATGGCAAATGAAGGTGGATTCAACATTTTCTGCCACTCTAGATAATGTTATAAATCAGTTGATAACATTGTTTTGAGCAATGGGTATGGCATTAATTTGTTAAGAAAAGCATGGACAACTCCAAATATGAGAGGGAAGGAACAATGAATTGGACATTATGATTCAATGGCCATTTTCCATATCTTAACTAATGTTTGGCTAGCATTATATCATCACCAGACTAAGTATGACTCTGTTCTAATATTTATTCATTGAGTTGAAAAGATAAAACTAGTGAATATTTTAAGTATAAAGACAGAGTTCTAAACCTGAAGCATACATTTGCACAACTGGTTTTCTTTCTATAAAAGAATGTAAGTAGGATGTGACATGGATAGTTTCCCATGTTTTGCTTATAATTTTGATGGTGAATCCTACATTTCAGTAGAGTCATTTCTTACTAATTTAGATCAAATAGTATATAATTACTACTTTTGGTCACCTGTAGTTTGATGTGTTCAAATCAGTTCAGTGTCACTTTTCCAAAATCTAAGTGTGTATTTGTAAATGTGCAAGTCTTTTTGTAAAAATCCTGTCATGAACTTGTCTACTATAGCATGCTCTGACATTACTGTGAAATGTTTTAATAGGCATAATGTGTGTACTTCCTGTACTTAACTGCTCACCTGAAAAAAAAGGAGAATGAAGCAAATTGGCTAGTAAATGTTCAATTTCTGTCCTCTACATATTATTTTAAATATACTGAGTAGTGAATGGCATTGCAGAGATAGAATGGTTTTACAAGTTATTTTTGTATGTGCCCTCTTCTTTGTTCAGAAACATTAGAGTCTAGATTGTTTGGAAAATGCTTTAAGGAAATGACTTTACACAAACTTGCATATTTATGATGAAATTATATGAAGAGAGGCACATGTCTGTGCAGATCTTTTTTTTTTTTTTTTAAAAAAGCCAAGAGGTACATTTCATGATGCAGCAACAAAGGAAGCAAAAAGTGTGTCTTACTAGGAAAATGGATGAAATGGCCTTTTGTTAATACTGCAGCACGGTTTAAAAGTGAAGGCAGTAGTGCTTCCTGCTGCTTCCAGTAATGGGTGCCAAAGGCTTAAAGAAAGCTGTTTTAGTTTAGATTAAATTGTCAGAAATTGAGACTACATTAATTAAATGTAATTGTAAGGGGATATTTATGCATCCAAATGTTTACTTTTCAGATGACTTCTGTGTCTGTTTACATTATGGTTCAGAGGTGGTTTAAAAACTGTAACACCTGTAGCACCTTCATTGATCCATTCTATCTCAAACCTTTTCTGCAACGCGGTATGCTGAAGTCTTTTGTTGCTGTTACATCATGTTTACATGGTTATTTTTATTTAAAAAAAACATAAATTTAGAGAGAAGGGCTTAGATCATATTTCTAATTTAGGCCTGGATGTGCCCAGTGTGCCTTGACTCTCTTTTTCCTTTGAATGGCAGGTCACAGGTCATATCACAAATATCTTTTTTGACCTCTGTTAGCTTCACAAGATGCTTGCTAACTGCTGGACTTGGGAAGTTATTTTGAAAGCTCTTTTGATGTATGGAATTAAGTATAAGGTTTGTTGGATTAAGGGTAAAGTAATAGGATATAATAGTATTGATCTGTATCTTTGGGCCATTATGTAGCACTCCATGAATTAGGGGAGGAAATCATGTATGCAGTCTACAAATTCGTGCTAGCTGTACTGCAAGTTGCCAAGTTAATGATGTCTGAATCTCTAGAGATTCTCAATTTCAAAACAGAATTGGTGACCCTTTTAGTTTGAAAATTATTTATTTGCTAAAATGGCCAAATACTTTTTTCCAAGTGCAGATACATTTTGCAGGAATGAGCTCTATGTATAATAGGCGAACTACAAAATCTAGAAGTGAAGAAATGTATGTTAAGAACCTTGATTACATTTTATGAATCTAAAATCAATAGTGCCTGTAAAGCTGGTTGAAATAAATAATTTGTAATAAAACTAATCAGGGCATATACATTTAGTAATTCTGTTGGAGCGGAATTTCTTCCTGTTGATGAATGTATTTGTGGAACTTAATTGAAGCTCGTGTATGTTTCACAGACTCCCAGGTCTAGTACTTGAGCCCCAAATTAATTTATCTCAGAAGACTCCCTGATTTTTTATGTCTTTCTTCCATTATGTATACTTCTGAGGTCGTATTTTATATGTTGGGACATGAAAATTTGCCAAATATTTAAATAATTTGCTTAGAATCTTTTTTAATGCCATTATGTAACAAATCTCATGTTATATGCACTGTTCATGATAAGAACTTTGTATTGAAGAATTGCAAGCCATCTACTCCTTATATGTACAAAACAAAACAAAATCATTCTCATTTTTGAATTATAAAATTATATTTTATTTTTATAATTGTAATTCTGATTGTGAATTTCACTGCCACTAACTCATTGTGGATATTGTAGATAAGCTTGGGTCCTATATTTCAATACTTACACAATTTAAAAAAAAAATAAAGTAATGCTTTGAAAGTAGTAACATTTAATTAAACCCCAAGTTTAATTGGTTCTAAAATTAAGAAATGAATTCTTTCAAACGCCAAGAAATACATGTTTAAAATGAGTTTAAGATTTACATTGTGTTATTTAAAATCTTAATGTTCATGTTGTCATGCTACTGTTCAATTTTTGCACTCCAGTAATTTTTCTAAAAAATTTAAGCATGTTAATTCTTCTCAGTGTTTCCATGCCTCTTGTCTTTATTGATAAAACATATATACCATTTTGCATATTACAGTTTAAATTGATGCAATCCAATTGATGCAGTACAACTATAGCCCCAGTTCTTACGGACACCTGTGCATAAAAGTCATATTTTCCTTATTTTCAGAATTTATATATGGTTGCACATACAGTTGGTCCTCATTTAACAACTGCACATTTAGTGACTGATCAAACATGATGGTGCTGAATGAATGGTAATCCTGATTATCTGTCAGTGTAGCATTTCTGTGGTCACGTGGTCATGATCGGGATGGTGGTCACATGAGGTCCTAGTTTAAAAAATGAATTTGTTTTCCACTAACTTCAGTTAGAAAATTACTAAGTTTTCAGTTTTTCATTATGACTTCAGAATTACGGCCTAGGAGTGGAGCAGTAACTTTAAAAATGCATATGTTTAAAGTTCTGTGAGTGAGGTATTTTTTTTCTTGAAATCGATTTCCACTTAAAGATTGGTTAAGTTGATTTCAGAGAGACCTAAGTGCACCTTTCTGCTTAGATTTAAAGACACCAGCATTAGTATTTATAATATAAACATAGTGCACTATAATACTATATATAATTTTTTATTTATTTATGGTGTACTTTATTTATAGTTGCCTTCCCAGCAAAGTAGTACCTGTTTATCTAATTGCATTTGCATGCTTTTGAACTGTCAGGTGGGCAGGAGCTGAGGCAAGTAACAGGAGCTTACCCTGTCAAGCGGCACTCTGTCCTCAAACCCAAGATGTCAACTTTCCAGCTGAGAAGCTTGGCATCTTTAACCTCTGTGCCATTGCACTACTTCTAATCATTGCTAATAATCTTGCTCTCTTAATTAAGAGAAATGATTTTGCTTATAGAACCCTACTGTTGCATGGTGTGCCCTAGACTGAAATATAAATGAAGGAGAGCCTTAGTTCTTTCTCCTTTAAGGTGAAGTATATACCCAATGGTCACATGTCACTGCTCTTGCAGGGCACATTGGGAGCAATGGTTCTTTCACAGTATATCTTACAATGGGAAACTGCACTATACTTTTATATAGAAACAGGTAAATAAAACATTTCAATGTTTAGGTGAGATTTTTTTCAAGAGGAAATAATTGCTGGGAAGTAGAAATGAAGTGAATTCTGGTAAGTTCAAAAGGATGAAGCACAACTCAACTTTTGGCAAAGACGTCAAATTGTTAGCTGGTAATATATATTTAAACTGGATTTCTGCCTCCACTCCCCACAATCTTGTCACACTGAATTCAATTCAATTTTAAAGCCACTATAAAAATTAAGTGTTGATGAAAGATACATATCATCTGTCCCTGACTCTTGAAATAAATACCCTGTATTGTTGGAATGGGTGGGGATCATACAATTATTTTCCATTATTTTATTTAAATTTGTACCCTTTATTCTATTTCTAGGGAAATTAAAGCAGACTAAGGCATTCTGTTAGAGTTGGGAATGTTTTGACAATAATTTGAAAAAGGTGCTTCAGAACCTGCAAAACGTTCACTCTACAGTAAAGTGTTACTATACTTTTTCAGGTTTCTGCTCTAGTCTGAGAAAAGGTTCTGCAGGTTTAATGAGTCTGCTGCGGCTTATTAAAACAGTCACATCATTTTGCAACATCTCATGGAATCTTGAAAAAATGGGACTCTTTTAAAGTGGTATTGCAGCCACATGTTCCAAAATATCTCCCCTGAATAATTTTCAAAGCACATCCCCTACAAAACAGCAAGACACTATATTTAATAATACAATGCACTTCTTGCTGTAATCTATTTATTAATCAGACTTACATAGCCACTCATCTCACAAGAAATGTCTCTGGATGATACAGAATAATCAGAAATGAATACATATATAAAAACATTAAAAAATGAAAATCAGCATTAAAAATGTTAACAGATCTGTTAACAGATAATCAGAGTTGGAAGGGACCTTGTAGGTCGTCTAGTCCAACCCCCCGCCCAAGCGGGAGACCCTACACCATCTCTGACAAATGGCAGTCCAATCTCTTCTTGAAAGTCTCAACTGATGGTGCTCCCACAACTTCCAAGGGCAAGCTGTTCCATTGCTTGATTGTTCTCACTGTCAGAAAGTTTCTCCTTATTTCCAGGTTAAATCTCTCCTTGTTCAGTTTCCATCCATTATTCCTTGTCTGGCCTACAGGTGCTTTAGAAAATAGCTTGACCCCTTCCTCCCTATGGCAGCCCCTCAAATATTGGAAGACCACTATCATGTCTCCCCTGGTCCTTCTCTTTACTAGACTACCCAAGCCCAGTTCCTGCAACCGTTCGTTGTATGTTTTAGTCTCCAGTCCCCTAATCATCCTGGTTGCTCTTCTCTGTACTTTTTCTAGAGTCTCAACATCTTTTTTATAATGTGGTGAACAAAACTGGATGCAGTACTCTAGGTGTGGTCTTACTAAGGCTTTATAGAGTGGTATTAGTACTTCCTTGGTCTTAAAACAAAAATTATAAAAACCTCAAACAGATTGCACCAATCTGTTAAGGTTGCTAAGGTTAACAAGCACCTGGTAGTGTGGTTATTGATTAGGGACATTGACATGCATCTCCATGATTTCAAGGAATGCACTGTTTGATCTACATACTTTAATGCATTTACAGATTCCAAGGTAAGTACATTGTTGGCCTGAAGCTACAGAAAGAAACTTCAAAAATAAATATTTTTGGTAATGTTCATTAAAATTAAACATCTGTATTTCAAATAATAATAGAAAAAGAACATTTCTTTTTCTTCCTCTTTTTGTTGCTATGCCAAGATTTCCTATTACAAAGACATCTACAGAACATTGAACAAAAAGCTGATGGACTTTATTACAAAATGGAAAATTGTTCTGGAAAAATAGGCTCATTCAAAATTTTCCACATGATTGTATGATGACTCCTACGAGTGAGCCTCAATGTCTTGATCCTTGAACCTTGACATTTCTTAAGACATTTACCAAGATGCAAAATATATAACGCAGTAGATACCATAACTGTACTTGTAAAATGCATGGTGGGAGAGGAAATATCTTACACACAAAAAAGCAGCCAAACTTTCCAGCTACTTTTCAGCAAAACTATGGCTGATTGAATCTTGTGTATCAAATTAACTAAATTGTACAAATTTGAGGATCCTCCCGTTAAAACATCTAACTTTCAGTACTAG